ATCCAGGACCCCCCTTGCCGACCCCTATCACACAAGGCGCAGGCTCACCTGTCGGGATACCCGTCCGAGTTGAGGGGACACATGTAGTTCACCTCCTTCAGGTTGACGTTGGAGAAGACGAGCTTGTGGTTACTGCTGTAGATGACGGTGGGACGGTCGGAGCAGGCAAAGACGTTGGTGGTGGAGAGCGAGCGGAAAGTCCTCAGCACGGTGGGCTGGGTCCCGAGCGTCACCTTCTTCCGGTCGCTCAGCAAGCCTAAAGGGAGCAGCGGTGTCGGAGCTGCCGCAACGGAGCTCGCAAGAGCAGGAGGGTGGAACGCACCGCGGCCGCAACGCCTCGGGGTGAAAGAAGCGTGGGTAAACGCATCCTGGATGTGAGCCCAACTCCCAGTCCCGCCCAAGTGCAACCCCGGCGCAGGGAGAAAGCAAGGAAGGGAGAGATCTCTCCAGGAGGAGGAAAGGAGGCGGGTCAAGGGAGCAGGAGGGCACGAGACCAGCTCGGTGCTGTCACCTGTCTCGAGGCTGAGCCCGAAGTAGAAGAGAGCTCCATCCCCCAGCGCACACAGAAGGTAGTGGCTGCTCTCGAAGGTTGTCATCAGGATGGAGCGAGGGATAATTTCTGCAGGGAGCAGGAGAAGAGGAGGCTGACGTCACTCACGACTCGGCCAAGTCGGTGAGGGCAGCCCCGGGAGAGCCCTACCTCCTCCCAGCATCTCCTTGTGCAGCAGTTCAAAGGAGGGCAGCTTGAGGATGCGGGCGGAGATGTCCGTCCAGAGCCCGATGGCACACAGCGGGGACATGCCGTTAGTGTCCCCCAAGGGGGTGATGTCCAGGCAGGCAACCTCATGCTCCATCTCGGTGCAGCTGGCAGGAAGGAGGATGCAGGCAGAGGTGTCAGGCTCGAGCCCAGACAGTCAGCAAAGGCGGAGAGCCTTCGGGGCAGGACAGGGACCGGGACTCACCTGATCTGCCTGAGCTCCTGGGGACGGATCTCCAGGTAGTACAGGGCTCGTCCCACAGCCACCACCACCTGGTTGCTGTTGCAGGAAGCCACGCTGATGTTCTTCCCGTTGGGCTCTTTCCACTCGCTCACCAGGGCTTTGGGCTCCTGACTAACCAGTCTCACAGAGGCAGAGGTGATCTGGGGAGAGACAACACCCCTGCTCAGAGCCAGAACGTCTTCCTTCCCTCATCGGCACAGGGAAGCACGGCAAAGTCTGTCCCTGATAAGCAGCACGGATCTAGGTGAGCCCCCACATTAACCTCATCAAGTTCAACCAGGCCAAGTGCCAGGTCCTGCACAGGGGTTGGGGCAATCCCAGCACAAGGACAGGCTGGGTGGGGAATGGCTGGGAGCAGCCCTGAGGAGAAGGATTTGGGGTCCTGGAGGCGAGGAGCTGGCCATGAGCCGGCCGTGTGCGCTGGCAGCCCAGAAAGCCAACCCCATCCTGGGCTGGATCCGGAGCAGCGTGGCCAGGGGGGCGAGGGAGGGGATTCTGCCCCTCTGCTCCGCTCTGGGGAGACCCCCCTGCAGTTCTGCTCCAGCTCTGGGCCCCAACAGCAGAAGGACACGGAGCTGTTGGAGCGAGTCCAGAGGAGGCCCCGGAGATGCTCCGAGGGCTGGAGCCCCTCTGCCCTGGGGACAGGCTGGGGGAGTTGGGGGGTTCAGCCTGGAGAAGGGAAGCTCCGGGGAGACCTCAGAGCCCCTTCCAGTGCCTGGGGGGCTACAAGAAAGCTGGGGGGGCTTTTCCCAAGGACAGGGAGTGACAGGGCAGAGGGTGGGACTGGGATTACCTGGATCAACTGCTGATGTGCCACGTTGCCGCAGAAGAAAGTCTGCTGATCGTCCACAAACCCCGTGAGCTCTGTCTCTTCTACTTCCTCGCCATTTAACATCAGAACCCTGAGCGGGAACGGGAGCTCCTGTTACATCCCACTCCAACTCCCGGCTGAGAGCCCGGCGCGGCGTTAACCCCCACCGTACCTGGTCTGGCCAACAAAGGACAGCACCAACGTGTTGTCCGTTTCCCGATGAGAATCTGACCTCAGGGGCCACAAACCTGCAAGGAAGCGAGGCCACGACTGCCCACCGGCAAGATTCCCAAAGCTGGTGCGTGGCAAGCCCCCTGCCCCACTCCCCGGCCTCAGTCTGTGCCCACGGCGTGTCCCCAC